TAAAAACAAGCCAACAAACACAAAACACCAGACATCATGATACAGACTTATAATTTGCACAGATGTTTTTTTCAAAATTCTATACGTGAAAAGTGAGCGCGAGAGCCTTCGGTGCGTCACCCTGAAACAATCAGAATCAGAATACTTTATTAATCCCTAAGGAAACTATGTGTGTTAGAGTTGCTCCAAGAAGAAATGGTAAAAAATAGTAACAGTAACAAACTAAACTCCAAACAATACATTATGTTACAGATTTTACACATTTAAGGAATAGCACTAATCAGATCAGTCAATTATAAATATCAAGGATTAACAGAGGGGATTATAAATAAATATCAAGAAAATTGACAAGAATATTACATCAGAGTAGAAAAGAGCGTGTGTAAAAAGGGTGTAACTATTGCAGGGGTGCCAGAGGGAGTGCCCAGGGCGCCAAACAGGCTAGGACCGCCACTGACCCTGAGAAACCCAGGGCAGCAAGTTGTCCCTATGTTGAATCATATTGGGAGGTGCCTGATGAAGAACCACAAAAATCTGAGAGGTGATCCTGAGGCCACGAAACCTGTCTAGAAGCTAGTCCATAAAGGTGGGATTAGAATGATGACCTCAGTGGCACTATCAGTAGTAGTAAGCCTATCCTTGCATCTTTTACATGAACCAATCTCCAGGAAGTAACACATCTTGCCTCATTTGCAATGATATGCTCACACTTTTTTCTACTTTTCTAACAGTACACTTTAATTTTCTACAGAAAGAGCATTAATATAATATAAATTGGGTGTTTTGTGGTTTGTGTGTGTCTCTGCATCCAGCTGACAGCACTAACAGAGAAAAAGATCCCGCGTGCATGTGAGTGACTCTGTGTGAGTTAATGGACAGTGGAGAGGCAGCTCGGTCTTTCATTATCTGTAACACCTCTGAGCTACACAGAGGTGTTCTTGCAAGACAAACAGGGCTCCATACAGCCTGACAGCTAATTGATTCATTCAGCTAAGCCACAGCAGCCCTAAAACCTGGTGGATTAACGCACGTGTAGCAGTGACACATTTACAGTAACGACACACAGTTAATGGCTCATCAATAAGGATACACTTCTCTCCAGCCTGCAATTTAAGAAGTACATTTTCTGAAATTGTTTAATCTGGGTATACTGAACATAAGCAAGAGCCTAACGGGGAAAATTATTTAGACCTTCAAAGGGAAGCTTAAATTAAAGCTATCGTAGCAATATTCTCTTTACTGGAACTACGGATTTTAAAATTGTCAAGTATAAAAAAACATTTAAAAAATCCACATAAAATCAAAAACAGACTGCAACAATTTGCAAATCTCATAAACCCAAATAAAACATAGAAAACATATCAAATAAGACACTCATTTTGAACTTGATGGAGCAACAAGCGTCCCTTC